CAACAATTGGTATCAGAGCTAGATTAGAGTGTGTAATATCTGCTTATTGTCTTTGTGTTGCCACCAAAAGGTGGATCCTCCAACATAATAAAATAAGAAGTTATTACCCATTCTTTGAAGGTTCCAGAGAACTATTCACGATAGTGAAATAGTGGGAACTATCCGTAAAAGAAGCTATGGCAACAAAATTTGATATTGAAAAATTCAATGGGAGAAATTTCTCATTGTGGAAATTGAAGATGAAGGCCATCCTAAGGAAAGACGGGTGTCTAGCGGCTATCAATGAAAGACCGGTGGATTTCGCAGATGACATCAAATGGAACGAGATGGACGGGAATGCTATAGCAAACTTTCATTTAGCATTAGCAGATGAAGTATTGTCAAGCATCGAGGAGAAGAAGACAGCTAAGGAGATATGGGATCATCTTACCAAACTGTACGAGGCCACATCGCTGCACAATAAAATTTTCCTTAAGAGAGGAAATTGTACACTCTCTGTATGCCAGAATCTACTTCAGTGACGGAGCACTTAAATACACTGAACACCTTATTTTCTCAGCTTACATCCTTAAGCTGTAAAATAAGAGAACAAGAACGTGCTGAACTTCTACTTCAAAGTCTACCGGATTCATATGATCAACTCATCATCAACTTGACAAACAGTAATGTCACCAGTCTAGTCTTCGATGACGTTGCAGCTGCTGTTCTACAAGAAAAAAATCGGCGCAATAACAAATATGACAGACAAGTAAATCTGCAACAAGCAGAAGCGTTGACAACGATGAGAGGGAGATCAACAGAACGTGGCCAAAACAGCAGTCACAAACATGGTAGATCAAAGTCGAGAAGCAAGAAGAATTTAAAGTGTTCAACTGTGGAAAGAAGGGTCACTTGAAGAAGGATTGTTGGAGTCTAAATAAAAACTCCAATCTACAATGCAATATCGCAAACACTTCAGATGATGGAGATGCTCTATGCTGTGAAGCGTCAACCACCGTGGAAGGAAGAAAACGATTTGTAGATATATGGCTCATTGATTCGGGAGCAACATATCACATGACCTCAAGAAGAGAATGGTTCCATCGTACAGTTGCAATGATCATGCCTTAGAGATCATAGGCGTGAGAACCATCAAATTGAAGATATACGATGGAACAATTAAAGTTGTTCGAGATGTGCGGCACGTGAAAGGCCTGAAGAAAAATTTATTATCTTACGGATTGTTGGATAATAATGCTAGCAAGATTGAAACACGAAAAGGAATCATGAAGGTGTTCCGTGGAGCACTTGTGGTGCTAAAAGGCGAAAAGATAGCAGCAAACTTGTACATGCTGAAGGGAGAGACTTTGCTAGAAGCAGAAGCCTCTGTTGCCTCATGTAGTTCAAATTCGGCAATCCTATGGCATCAGAAACTTGGACACATGTCAGAACAAGGAATGAAAGTCCTTGTGGAGCAAAAGCTACTTCCAGGCTTAACAAAGGTATCACTTTCTTTGTGTGAGCATTGCATAACAAGTAAGCAGCACCGGTTGAAATTTGACACATCAAATTCTAGAGGCAAAAGTGTTCTAGAATTGGTTCACTCTGACGTATGACAAGCACCAGTAACGTCCCTAGGTGGAGAAAAATACTTTGTCTCATTTATTGATGACTACTCCAGGAGATGTTGGGTGCACCCTATTAAGAAGAAGTCAGACGTGTTTTCAACTTTCAAAAACTTCAAAGCGCGGGTGGAACTTGATTCTGGAAATAAGATCAAGTGTTTCAGAACAGATAATGGAGGAGAATACACAAGCGAAGAATTTGATGACTTTTACAGGAAAGAAGGCATCAAAAGACAGTTCACAGTGGCGAACACTCCTCAACAAAATGGAGTGGCAGAGCGGATGAACAGAACCTTGTTAGAAAGAACAAGAGCAATGTTGATGGACGCAGGCCTAGAAAAATCATTCTGGGCAGAAGCAGTCAATACCGCCTGTTATTTGGTGAATCGAGCTCCATCAACTGCAATAGAGCTGAAGACACCAATGGAGATGTGGACTGGTAAACCAGTTGATTATTCAAACCTCCATATATTTGGAAGTATAGTGTACGTGATGTATAACTCCCAAGAAATTTCAAAGTTGGATCCAAAATCCAGGAAATGCAAATTCTTGGGGTATGCTGATGGAGTAAAGAGGTATCGTTTGTGGGATCCCACTGCCCGCAAAGTGATCATTAGTAGAGATGTTATCTTTGTAGAAGATAAACTACAAAGAAAAGAAGACGATGATAGAGCTGAAAAGTCAGAGACTACTTAGATACATGTGGAAAAAGAGTTTGAAGAAAGAGATTCTTCTGAAGCAGAACCAGCACATGATGAACAAGAACCAGAGAATTCTGAAGCTCCAACAACTCATCAATCAGATCGTGTGAGAAGACGTCCCAATTGGCACTCAGATTATGTTATAGAATGTAATATTGCATACTGCCTTTTAACAGAGGACGGTGAGCCATCAACATACCAGGAGGCAATAAACAGCTCAGATGCTTCACTGTGGATGATGGCGATGCAAGAAGAAATCGATGCCCTTCATAAAAATAATACATGGGACCTTGTGCCACTACCACAAGGAAGGAAGCCAATTGGTAACAAATGGGTTTTCAAAATCAAGCGAAATGGTGACGATCAAGTTGAGAGGTATCGTGCAAGACTAGTGGTCAAAGGATATGCTCAAAAAGAAGGTATTGATTTCAATGAAATATTTTCTCTTGTGGTTCGACTGACAAGAGTTCGTGTAGTATTGGCAATGTGTGCTACATTGAATTTACATCTGGAACAGCTAGATGTTAAAACATCTTTTCTTCATGAAAATCTTGAAGAAGAGATTTATATGCTCCAGCCTGAAGGTTTTGAAGAAGACGAAAAGAAGAACTTGGTTTGCAGGTTGAACAAATCTCTGTACGGTCTAAAGCAGGCGCCGAGGTGTTGGTATAAGAGATTTGATTCCTTCATTATGTGCCTTAGATACAACAGACTTAATGCAGACCCTTGTGCTTATTTCAAGAGGTCTGGTGATAATGATTTTGTTATATTGCTATTGTATGTGTTTGACATGTTGGTTGCAGGACCCAACAAAGATCATATTGAAGAATTAAAGGCACAACTGGCTAGGGAATTTGAAATGAAGGACTTGGGATCAGCAAACAAGATTCTAGGGATGCAAATTCACCGAGACAGAAGTAATAGGAAGATTTGGCTTTCACAAAAGAATTACTTGAAGAAGATCTTGTCACGATTCAACATGCAAGATTGTAAGCCAATTTCTACCCCTCTTCCTATTAACGTCAAATTATCCTCCAGTATGAGTCCTAGCAGTGAAGAAGAGAGGATGGAGATGTCTCGAGTACCGTATGCATCAGCAGTGGGAAGTTTAATGTTCGCTATGATATGCACAAGACCAGACATTGCACAAGCAGTGGGAGTGGTTAGTCGGTACATGGCGAATCCAGGCAAAGAGCATTGGAATACAGTAAAGAGGATCCTAAGATACATCAAAGGGACCTCAAATGTTGCATTATGTTACGGAGGATCAAACTTACTAATTAATGGGTATGTAGATTCTGACTATGCAGGGGATTTGGATAAAAGCAAATCTACTACAGGATATATGTTCAAAGTTGCTGGTGGAGCTGTAAGCTGGGTTTCAAAATTGTAGTCAGTTGTGGCTACGTCCACAACAGAGGCAATATGTAGCAGCTACACAAGCCAGTAAAGAAACAATTTGGTTGAAGATGCTATTGGAGGAGCTTGGGCACAATCAAGAGTATGTCTCTCTGTTTTGTGACAGTCAAAGCGCCTTGCATCTAGCAAGGAATCCAACATTTCATTCAAGGACTAAGCACATACGAGTTCAGTACCATTTCATTCGTGAAAAGGTGGAAGAAGGAACAGTAGATATACAGAAGATCCATACCAAAGACAACATAGCAGATTTCATGACGAAGGCGATCAATGCTGATAAATTTACCTGGTGTCGATCCTCTTGTGGCCTGTCAGAGACGTAAGCAACATGATGGTACAAGGTAGAAAGAATGGTGTGAAGATATGATTGTTCCAATCAAATCTTCAAGTGGGAGATTGTTGAAATGTCAAAGCTTGGAAAATTGGTTCAAGTTAGGCACCTAATATTGCAATGTCAAAATTAGGTGCAACAATGTCAAAATTAGGTGCAATAATGTTTGAAAATTAAATGGGCAAATTATAAACTTTAGTCACTAAACTTTAGGGTATTTATAAGATTAGTCCTTAAGTTTCAACTATAAATGCCCTAACTCATTTAGCTTCAAAGCCATCCCAAAGCATTCTAGCTTTCTTCCAATACTAGAGAGATTTTAGAGAGTTTCTTGAGAGTTGTTTTCTCATTTTTATCTAGAGAAAATTATCATTGTTTTCTCCTTGGTATATCGAGAGAGGTTGTAATTCCTATTTTCTCATAGTGAAATTCTTCTACCGTTGCCCGTGGTTTTTACCCTATATTATTCAGGGGTTTTCCACGTAAATTTTGTGTCTCTTTTATCTTCATTTTTATTTTCTCAAATTATCAGTTGCGATTTTGCTCTATCCGATAGCCGTCTTCCGCAACAAGGATGACCAAAGTGTTGAAAGGCTCATAAGATCCGTTCCAAGGTTCAAAATGGTGGTGTCGAGGGAGCTCGGATTGGTGTGTTTTGAAACATGGTTTTTGCACATTATGCCCTCGTGTGATTTTGTTGAGCTTGTTCGAATCGTGTTGAGATGAATCTTTGTTTTGGAACCACATGAATTACAAGCTCTCAACATTTTTGGAATTCTTGAAGTAAGAAATCTTTAATTTTAATTCTAGCCGTCCGAAACACCTAATAGTGTATGAAAAAAATGATAGCCGAACCATAACTGAAACTTGAGAAAAAAAGCTGTGCAAGTTATGCAAACTGAGGAAATTCAAGGAAAGAAAATGCCCAAATCAAACATAAACCGTCTTCTCTTTCTTTTGCATTGATCAAGATCATCTTTCCTTTTAGCATATCTCTTCTTTTTCCCTCTCCTTTATAGAGTGGCAGTGGTAGCTTTGATTTGTAACAATGGCGGAAGAGTTGTTGGATATCGAAGCAGAAACTATGGCTGCTGCCGCAGATCAGTTGGAAGCCACTGCCACTGCCTTGTTTAAGAGTTCAAATCGCCCTGTTATTTTAAAGGTATATTCATACTATTTCCATTTCCATTTTAGTTTATTAGTGTTTATTAATGTTGAATTTCTACAGTTTGTCGATGTTGTCTACAAAGTCAAGTCCCAGAAAGAGCGAAAATTCCTGAAAAATAAGTCCAGATCAGATGAAAATTTAGTGATCTTAAACGGGATAACAGGGATGGTTCAACCAGGTGAAATGTTGGCCATACTCGGTCCGTCAGGCAGCGGCAAAACAACACTGTTAACGGCATTAGGGGGTCGCCTAACCGGTGGTCGCCTCGGTGGAACCATAACTTACAATGGAAAGCCTTTCTCCAATTCAATGAAGCTAAGAATCGGCTTTGTTACACAAGAAGATGTTCTACACCCTCGATTGACAGTGACGGAAACTCTCGTTTTCACCGCCCTTCTTCGATTACCGAATAGTTTCAGTTTAGAAGAAAAGATCGCGAATGCGGAAGCTGTTATCAATCAACTAGGACTAAAAAAATGCAAAAACACCATCATCGGTGATCAATTTTCGAGAGGCATTTCGGGAGGTGAACGGAAAAGGGTAAGTATAGGCCAAGAAATGCTCATAAATCCAAGCTTGTTGTTCTTAGATGAGCCGACATCCGGTCTGGATTCGACTACGGCGCAAAGGATCCTGTCGATATTGTTAGAGCTCGCTAAAGGTGGAAGAACAGTCGCGTTGACGATTCACCAGCCTTCGAGTAGGTTATTTTACATGTTTCATAAGCTCTTGCTGTTATCAGAAGGGAACCCTCTGTATTTCGGACATGGATCAACGGCAATGGATCATTTTTCGAGCATTGGATACTCCCCATCATTCGCCATGAACCCTGCAGATTTCCTGTTGGATCTTGCAAATGGTATGTTTTATACTTCTAATGTTAACCATACTTTGAATCAAACCTTTTAAAAAAAGAGAACTTGCAAAACTTGTAGGGATTCCATCAGATGAGTCACCAAAGGAGCAAATCCTGATGAAGGAAACAGTAATTTCAGCCTATAAAACCAGCATTTATGAGAAATTGAAAGGTGAGCTCGAGGAAATCAGAGATCGTGAGATTATTGATGAACTGGGAAACAAAGAGTTGGAAAGATGGCCGACAACTTGGTGGCAACAATTCACCGTGTTGCTTAAAAGGGGACTGAAGGAAAGGAAGCATGAATCTTTTTCGATCTACAACATTACTGAGATCCTGATTTCAGCTGTTTTTACAGGCTCGTTATGGTGGAAATCTGATATTTCTCACTTGCAGGATCAGGTAATTTCATATATATTCGAACTTTTCGAATAAGCGTCGAATACGAATATGTATCTAATACGGATATATGCAGGTTGGACTCCTCTTTTTCATGTCAGGATTTTGGGCAATCTTCCCTTTAATGCAAGCAATTTTCACCTTCCCACAAGAACGAATGATGCTGCAAAAAGAACGATCGTCGGGCATGTACAGGCTTTCCTCGTACTTCATGTCGAGAATCGTCGCCGATCTTCCCATGGAACTTATTCTTCCGACTTCTTTCATTACGATTGCATATTGGATGTCCGGTCTGAAACCCACTGCGCTAAACTTCCTTCACACCTTGTCCGTCCTTCTTTACGGCGTCCTAGTCTCTCAAGGTGTAGGGTTAGCCATTGGTTCAGTGTTAATGGACCTTAAAAAAGCCGCCATTCTATGTTCGGTGCTGGTGTTGATCTTCTTGCTCGCCGGCGGGTTCTATATCCAGCACGTCCCGACGTTCATATCGTGGATCAAATACGTTTCGGTCACTGGTTATACTTTTAAACTCCTCCTCGGATCTCAGTTCAAGCCAAATGAAACGTACCCTTGCGGCGGTGAAGATGGGGTGTTTTGCAAAGTTGAAGATTTTCCGTCGGTAAAAGCTGTTGGCCTGGAGAGGCAATTCGTTTGTGTTGTTGCCATGGGTGTGATGCTTGTTGGTTACCGGTTGATTGCTTATTTGGGTCTCATGAGAATTGGGTGAGCAAAAGTTAAGACCATACTTATGTTTTGGGCATTTGAATATATCATTCCAATCTCTAAAAATTATTAGTGCCAAAAGTGTTTTAAAAAGGAGAAAGTAATTTCTAGTCCCTCAATTTTTCTTAACTTGATTTTTATAATGTATCATAATTTCATAATATCAACAGTCAAATGATTCATCATCATCAAAATATCAAAATCCAAACTAAAATAATAACGTGAAACAACAAATTAATCTAAATACTAATAAAAATCTATCAAACTTATGGACTAAATACTTTTTTTTTTATAAACACAGAAATTATTAATTAAATTCGAGTAACATAGATTAACCGCTAGTAATGCATTACTTTTAATTAATATTGTGTAAAATTAATTATTTTATAAAAAAAAATACATTACGGTGATTACCAAAGTGATCAACTTCAATTATCCAAAGCATACCTTCATTTGGATTGATTGTGAAATCGGCTTCCTTGACTCCTTTAAATTGAATTCAGAATTTTTTTTAAGGTCACGGAGTTTGTGCAACTTCTTCTTAGAGCTTGATCGCAAAATCTCTCGAATCCGAAATATTTGTTTTCAACATACTCCATGGTATAGCTCTTCGATGACAGTTCTACCAGCAAAAAATGGAATGACGAGAGATGGACTCTTCAAACCTCAGTGGTGACATTTCACTTTGGTGTAGTTTTTCGACGGCAGTCGTACTGACAAAATATGGAATGACGAGAGATGAACTCTTCAAAGCTTGGTGGTGAATTTTCACTTTGTTGTTACAGTTTATTGTACTATTTGTTCTTCTTTGTTTGTTGTTGGTTAATCTCTAGAGAATTTTCTGTCTTGAAACCATCTCTGATTGTGTTGTATTCTTTTCTTCCATTTAGGTTCAAGAAGGCTTTTAAGGAGACATAAAATCTAGGTTATAGTTAATAAATTTCTTTTGCTGAGAAAAAAGAAAGAAAGAAAGCAACCGTTGTATTTCACAACTCAAAATTCTTTGTAAGGTAAAGCAAAACGTAGCCACTAAAGCTGCTTTAAGCCTTTTCTTTCTAAGCCACAACCTTTATTCTTTCCAAATTTCATGAATTGAAAGAGTGATGAATGGAGATATACAATGAATTGTTGGTAGACTTAATTGCTTACTTTATACCCTCCCTGATTGAATCAAATGTGAAAGTTATTTTTTTGAAGGTTTAATATACTTTTGGAGGGTAGAAAGTATAATTAATCTGCATGAATTGAGATCTGAACAAAAACCCTAATTCCATGTTTATTAAGCAAAGAGATCTGCAAATATTTAACTTCTGCAATGATAGAGCAATTAATTAATTTAAACATGTTAGGACATGTTTAAAATTTAATCATCCAAATCAAAACCAAAATCAAGCAACTGCACACTATCCAACATATTAGGACATGTTTTTTTTTACATCAAGTCTAAGAATGTAAGAATCAATGTGCGGCTTTGGGTCTCAAGAACGACGTGGGGACATTCAAGCCTTGATATTATATATATATATACACACTTAAAATATAGTTTTTCAATTTTAATATATTATATATTAGATATGGATCATGAAAAACCCGGGAATGATAAATCTAAATTATGCATATAATGTTGAAAGTCAAAACAACAAATTGGAAGCATTAATGGGGTGGCAGCCGGCGGCTAATTAAATTCAAAGTTGGCTGCAAATTTGGTTGAATTTGGTTAGCGATAATTACCAAAATTTAGTCCCTAAACTTTAGGATATTTACAATATTAATTCTCAAGCTTCAACTATAAATACCCTATCTCATTTAGCTTCAAAACCATCCCAAAGCATTCTAGCTTTATTCCAATACTAGAGAGAATTTAGAGAGTTTCTTGAGAGTTGTTTCTCCTTTTTATCAAAAGAGAATTATCATTGTTTTCTCCTTGGTAGGTCGCGAGAAGTTGTAATTCCTATTTTCTCATAGTGAAATTCTTCTACCGTTTCCCGTGGTTTTTTACCCTATATTATTTAGGGGTTTTCCACGTAAATTTTGTGTCTCTTTTATCTTTATTTTTATTTTCTCAAATTATTAGTTGCGATTTTACTCTATCCGATAGCCGTCTTCCACAACAATTGGTATCAGAGCCAGATTTGAGTGTGTAATATCTGCTTATTGTCTTTGTGGTTGCCACCAAAAAGTGGATCCTCCAACATAAGAAATTAAAAAGGTATTACCCATTCTTTTAAGGTTCCAGAGAACTATTCACGATAGTGAAATAGTGGGAGCTATCTGTAATAGCAGCTATGAAAACAAAATTTGATATTGAAAAATTCAATGGGAGAAATTTCTCATTGTGAAAATTGAAGATGAAGGCCATCCTGAGGAAAGACGGTTGTCTAATAGCTATCAGTGAAAGGCCGGTGGATTTCACAGATGACAACAAATGGATCGAAATGGACGGGAATGCTATGGAAAACTTTCATCTAGCATTAGCAGATGAAGTATTGTTAAGCATCGAGGAGAAAAAGACAGCTAAGGAGATATGAGATCATCTCACCAAACTGTACGAGGCCACATCGTTGCACAATAAATTTTTTCTTAAGAGAAATGTGTACACTCTCCGTATGCCAGAATCTACTTCAGTGACGGAGCACTTAAATACACTGAACACTTTATTTTCTCAACTTACATCTTTAAGCTGTAAAATAGGAGAACAAGAACGTGTTGAACTTATACTTCAAAGTCTACCGGATTCGTATGATCAACTCATCATCAACTTGACAAACAGTAATGTCACCAGTCAAGTCTTCGATGACGTTGCAGCTGCTGTTCTACAAGAAGAAAATCGGCGCAATAACAAATATGACAGACAAGTAAATCTGCAACAAGAAGAAGCGTTAACAACGATGACAATGATGAGAGGGAGATCAACAGAACGTGGCCAAAGCAGCAGTCACAAACATGGTAGATCAAAGTCGAGAAGCAAGAAGAATTTAAAGTGCTACAATTGTGGAAAGAAAGGTCACTTGAAGAAGGATTGTTGGAGTCTAAATAAAAACTTCAATCTATAAGGCAATACCACAAACACTTCAGATGATGGAGATACTCTATGTTGTGAAGCGTCAACCACCGTGGAAGGCAGAAAAAGATTTACAGATATATGGCTCATTGATTCAGGAGCAACATATCACATGACCTCAAGAAGAGAATGGTTCCATCATTATGAACATGTCTCATGAGGATCTATGTATAGTTGCAATGATCATGCCTTAGAGATCATAGGCGTGGGAACCATCAAATTGAAGATGTACGATGGAACAATTAAAGTTGTTCGAGATGTGCGGCACGTGAAAGGCCTGAAGAAAAATTTATTATCCTACGGATTGTTGGATAATAATGCAAGCAAGATTGAAACACGGAAAAGAATCATGAAGGTGTTCCGTGGAGCGCTTGTGGTGCTGAAAGGGGAAAAGATAGCAGCAAACTTGTACATGCTAAAGGGAGAGACTTTGCTAGAAGCAGAAGCCTCTGTTGCCTCATGTAGTTCAGATTCTGCAATGCTGTGACATCAGAAACTTGGACACATGTCAGAATAAGGAATGAAAGTCCTTGTGGAGCAAAAACTACTTTCAGGCTTAACAAAAGTATCACTTACTTTATGTGAGCATTGCATAACAAGTAAGCAGCACCGGTTGAAATTTAACACGTCAAATTCTAGAGGCAAAAGTGTTCTAGAATTGGTTCACTCTGACGTATGGCAAGCACCAGTTACATCCCTAGGAGGAGTAAAATATTTTGTCTCATTTATTGATGATTACTCCAGGAGATGTTGGGTGTACCCTATTAAAAAGAAGTCAGACGTGTTTTCAACTTTCAAAAAAACTTTAAAGCGTGGGTGGAACTTGATTCTGGAAATAAGATCAATTGTTTCAGAACAGATAATGGAGGAGAATACACAAGTGAAGAATTTGATGACTTTTGTAGGAAAGAATGCATCAAAAGACAGTTCACAGTGGCGAACACTCCTCAACAAAATAGAGTGGCAGAACGGATGAAAAGAACCTTGTTAGAAAAACAAGAGCAATGTTGAGGGATACAAGCCTAGAAAAATCATTCTGGGCAGAAGCAGCTGAGACACCAATAGAGATGTGGACTGGTAAACCAGCTGATTATTCAAACCTTCATGTATTTGGAAGTATTGTGTATGTGATGTACAACTCCCAAGAAATCTCAAAGCTGGATCCAAAATCCAGGAAATACAAATTCTTGGGGTATGTTGATGGTGTAAAGGGGTATCGCTTGTGGGATCCCACTACCCGTAAAGTGATCATCAATAGTGATGTTATCTTTGTAGAAGATAAACTAAAAAGAAAAGAAGACGATGATAGCACTGAAAAGTCAGAGACCACACAGATACATGTGGAAAAGGAGGTTGAACAAGGAGATTCTTCTGAAGAAGAACCAGCACATGATGAACAATAACCAGAGAGTTTTGAAGCTCCAACAACTCGTCAATCAGATCGTGTGAGAAGACGTCCTAATTGGCACTCAGATTATGTTATAGAAGGTAATATTGCATACTGCCTTTTAACAGAGGACGGTGAGCCATCAACATACCAGGAGGCAATAAACAGCTCAGATGCTTCACTATGGATGATGGCGATGCAAGAGGAAATTGAAGCCCTTCATAAAAATAATACATGGGACCTTGTGCCACTACCACAAGGAAGGAAGCCAATTGGTAACAAATGGTGACGATCAAGTTGAGAGGTATCATGCAAGACTGGTGATCAAATGATATGCTCAAAAAGAATGTATTGATTTCAATGAAATATTTTCTCCTGTGGATCGACTAATAACAGTTCGAGTAGTTTTGGAAATTTGTGCTACATTAAACTTACATCTAGAGCAGCTAGATGTTAAAACAACTTTTCTTCATGGAAATCTTTAAGAAGAGATTTACATGCTCCAACCTGAAGGTTTTGAAGAAAAAGAAAAGAAGAACTTGGTTTGCAGGTTGAACAAATCTCTGTACGGTCTAAAGCAGGCACCGAGATGTTGGTATAATAGATTTGATTCATTCATTCATTATG